GACAATTTTTTTTTTTTTGCCCAGGCAGTGTAATTTGAACTGTAAGTAAATGTCTGCAGATACCTGTGGTATGAGTTGGGAATTCGGTAACTAAAATTAAGACTTAGGAAAGCCTTTTGGTTAAAAAAAGGGATTCATGAATCAAGTCCAGTTCTTTTCTATTTAGGCATTAGGGAAAAGGTTGGGAGGCTTTGCACCCAGATAACTATTGACCATCACTTGCATGCATGTATTGCCCATGCAATAATGTATATCTTTAGGCCCAAATTCAAGAACAACTCCATATAAGCATTTTCATAAGCACAAAACAGTATTTACCATAAGCTTCCTCTGGAACCTTCTGAACTGTAAAAGAAGGTTAACAAAGTTTAGGAAAATGAGAAAATATTTTATTTACCATCTCTCTAGAAAAGAAAAAGTTTACGTCTTAACCACTTTCTCTAAAAGGATTGGCATCTTTGCCAAAGAAAGCGAAGAAACAACAGTTTGCAGAGACTTTACCCATTGAATGTTGCCTTTGTTTTTCGGAGCATCTTAAGAAATTGCCTCATAAGGATAATAGGAATTAAATCTCTACCCCTAAAGTATTTAAATTCTTACCAGCGCTTTGTTTGAGAAGCTCAACCACCGGATCAGTAGGTGTAGCGAGTTCTAGTGCCTCTTCATTTGGGTCTTTAGGGAAGGGGGTGTAATTCAAATAACACAAGGTAAACCAAAGAAATAAGCCAGTACAAACATTTTTTTTTTTCTTAGCATCATAAAACATGTGAAAAAACATGGAGAGTTATGGTTTAGCTGACCTTTGGTAGGGATCATCAGTTTGCAAGGCAAAGCCAGAGGAGTCATTGCATGTTGGTATACCAGAGCAGAGAGGCATCCTGTAATCAAAGCAAAGCTTTGTGTCAAACTGGACCAATGGATTCAAGAAGTCATACCTCAGGCAGGAAAATAAGTTAGAAACCCACCAAAATAGGGTTCGTTGGGGCAACCTTTCAGACGTACACCTTTGGGGCTCGTCTCAATCAAGAAGTGCCTCACCAGCTCATTGGTCAAGTCGCCAGCTACCAAAGAAACACATTAAACATGAAATTATTTATATAAAATAGGCAATAAACGGAATAAAAGTACTGCATATTTTACAGAGTTTACCTTTCTTATTTTGCTGGACTGTTGGTGGGGGGCAAGCCACTTTCATAGCCAGACCATAGGCTCCACGGAACGAGTGACTGTCCCGGATGATGAATGCCCCTGGCTCCCTGTCTTTTAACAGACTGATGGCTGCAAGGTAGAAAATAAGAATACCAAGGAAATGACTTAATAAACAGTCTGAAGATATTTAAAATCTGTTGAGATATTCTAGATTTAGCTGACACCACATGGACTATTATCTTTTACAAACAATCTCGCAATTGTCAGCTGGAACTCCTATTTCTTAAGGGAATACTGGGTGATGCCTGTTAGCCGCCTTGCTCTTACACACCTTTTCAGCTCTGTACCTAATTGTCTATGCCATGGACTCCCAAAGTGGGGGTCATGTTTAAACCTGGGAACAAAAAACTTTTAGTGGAATTGGAAGTTCCCATTGACCCTTGTCTCATCATGCTATGGGTACATCTGACCCACCTATTTACGTGATACCATCGAGTGCAATGTACGGAGGTGAACACACCGTGCCAGTCGCATCTGACCTAACAAGCCAAAACAACTCCGTTTACATTTGATAAACATGGCTCGGCACTGCTGACAGGGATTCGGAAAAATCAAAGAGCGAAACAATATAGCAAACTTTCTACGCACTGGATTGCTTACTTGTTGTTCTTCATTGTTTACTTTCCTAGTTTTGTCACACTAGTGAAATCATTAATGCTAACCCAGTGTGATGTTTACTTAAAGGGTTGTAATCTAAATTTGAAAAGAAAATAATTTGATAAAAAAATCTTTAAAAAAAAACTATTTTCTCTAAAAACTTTTATTTAATTAAAGGTTTTTTAAAGAATAATTTCCGGATTGTTTCTTTTTCCAAATTTGAAATTATAGGATGTGTTCAGTTTTTCAGATTTTCATTTACAAAACCTGTTCTTTGCTTCCAAAAATAATGGAAAAATTGGCATGCCTTTAACATATCCCACCAATTTTCATATGTATCAGTACAAGTAATAGCTTTTCTTCCATCTACTTCTGAGCAGGGGGAAAAAATTTTATATTTTTAAGTTTTATCTGTAGGTAAAGTTCTCACCTTGTTCTCTGGAGATATCTGGTTTGTACCAAAACCTAGAGGTGTCCTGGACAAACTTAACATTCATCCTTATGTCTGGATTGCCATCTGTTTAAATGAAAATGACAGTGAGGACCATTAGTGTTTAGATAATCTAACTGTAAGCCAACACAGTCCTGCGTGTCTCACCATAGATAGACTTGGAGACATCTGGGAGAGTATGGGTGCCAGAAAGGTTTGGCGTACTGCCACCACTGGCTGGTATCAGGTTCCTGTTGTCTGTCCTCTCCACGTCTCCACTGGACATGTGTCTCTTCTCAGGGAGCTGCGGGGAGACAGGGAAGGCAGGGGTGGGAGGCGGCTGGGCGCTCCCCTGGCGAGACGCTGCCCTCAGCTCGTCAGGTGTGCTGCGGCCGCTCGACACTGCGCGCCGTCCCATTAGCGGACTTGGGGGAACGCCGTCTGTTGCACTTTTAGGGTTTCGGCCTATCAGAGGACTAGAAGGGGCCCCGGAAGGGGACTGGTGTCTGGCCAGGGAGGGGCTGGCTTGACCTAATCGTCTTTGAAGGGCAGGGCTTGGTGGCGTGTTGGTGGCCACTGTGCGGTGGAGGGTGTTTGGGCTGCCGGGGACGGTGTGCACACCCATGATGTTGACCTGGGATCCCTCAGGAGAGGCAGGTCTGTGGGTGTATGGGGAAGGGGGTCCGTGGGGGCCACCATCTGAAGAACCAGTCCTCCTTCTGAACATGAAAAAAAAAGTATTGTTTTTCTAAAAAATCTAACTTTATATATACATTCACAAAAATATGGAATAAGAGTAAAAAACATGCGCTAGTGTCTAAACCCAAATAAAGTTGTTACACTCCCTACCAGGTAGGGGTGTAAATAATAATCGTTTTGTATCGATGCATCGGATCGTCGGCTGTTGGATCGATGCATCGACACGTCCGCAAGAGAATTGATTCATGTTTTTTTTCCTCCGGTCTATTTTTATCTATTTGCTCCTGGGCGTAATTCTCCTCCCGTGCTGA